TTTCTAACTAAAAACTTGCTCTATCCAATAGTGTTTATTGTACTTTCTGTATCTATTGTAATTTCCATGAAAATAAGTAGGGCACATTACTCTTGAAGTATCCCTTATATTTAGTACAAGTAATTATTATTTATTACTGCATAATTATTTAATAATTTAGTGCAAAAATATTTATATACATTTACATATTTTTGTGTTTTTGCTTCTTTAAATCGTTTTAATCAAGATTCTCATTATTAAATGGCCAATGTTTTCCAATAAAGAATGATTGATAATTGATTTGATCAAAATTCAATCAATTACAAAATAGTGTTTGCTGTATGTTTTTTTTTTTTCAACCACAAGGCAATAAGTCTGAAGAAATATTTCTCTGGAAATGTATATTTATTCTGACTGTTTTCTGGTTATTTTGTATAAAATTTACCTGTGGGTGAAATGTTTAATTAGAAATTGATTTTATTTTTTTATGAACTTAAAAATGTAGAAAATTGTGTAGCAAATTATGGTCATTTAATAAAATGCCAGATGAATGCTTGCTTTTTCAATTAATAAGGAAATTAATATAATAAGACAAACTTGAAAGTCACCAGAGGTAACACATGGCTAGAGAAGGTTGAAGAGTCAACTAGGTGAAAAAATGTGATCTTTAAATAAAGCTAAAGAGATGAGAAAAGAGATTTTATTACATACAGCTAAAAAATTATTCTTTCTTTTATATTTAATTAGGTTTTTGCTAGATTTACCAAAAATAAATGCAGAACAATATGTTCAAAATATTTAAATCAAATGATTGTGTGTATATATATATATATATATATATATATATATATATATATGTATACACACAAAGGGCCTGTGCAAGATCCAGATCAAATCCAGAGCCCTCCACTACAACATCTCAATTCTTATAAGGTAGTAGTCATATAAAATACAAATTTTATTGTAATCTAATTATTGTAAATAATTGATATACACATACAAAAAAAAAATTCAAAATTCTTTTTAAAATATTTCAAAAAGAAAATGAAATTCTCTAAGGAGTTCTGCTTTTAACTAATATAAACATTAAGCCAAAGTGATACAAAAATTAATTTCTTGAAATTTCATATAATGTAGGAGGTAACAGATGTCAAAAAAATATTTTACCAAGATTTTCAAAAAATGAAACATTTCTAAAATAATTTCATTCATTTGTGAATAAGTCCTGAAAGTTTCATTAAAATCTAACAACTATTTGATTTTGCAAGAATGGACAAGAGATGCTAAAATTTCCCATACTAATCTTTGGCCTCCCCACTGACAAAAAAGACAAGATTTTTAACCAAAATGTTGAATGTTCCTAAAAAAGATAAAAAAATATAATTTAATAATCAAAAATCCTTTGGTCCTTCCTCTTAATAATGACATAAATATTTTGAAGATAAAATTATGTTTTTATTAAGTTTGTTGTATTTTTTTCATGGTATGCTCATATTTTAGTAAATCTGTAGAGGTACCTACATTTTAAAGATTATTTTTTTTTATTCAAATTTAAACTCTAGATAGAAAAATAAATGCTGACTAGCATCCAAAAAAGAAAAAAAATCACTTATTTTTTAAGCTGAAATGATATAAAAGTTTTTAAAGCAAAGGCTTGATGGAAGAGTTTTCCTTCTGTTTGTCAGTGAAATCTGATAGAAATCTTCTCTAAGACTATGAAATGAAAATATGACAATTCCAATATCCAAGAATCTTTTTTTATTACTCTTTGATTTTATGGCAGGGGTCGGCAACTCATTTGACCCCATGGGCCGGATCGTGTTATAATGACGGGTCGCGGGCCGGACGAAGACCATTAATGAAAAATTAAGGAAAATTACATATGCAGACTCCTGTCGACCTAAATATTTCAAATCATAATGAAAATAAACATTGAGAAATCAGAAAAACAAAAGAAAATCTAAAATTAAAAAACGCCTAACAAAAATTACTTTTCCTCAAGGAATGTCAAAATACTTCAAAGTGAAATAAATCAACCAAAGTGAAATGGATGAAATTATGACGTGTAGGTTTGAAACTGTTATTGAAAATTGTTCCACAAACGAACAACACACACGCACATGAAACAAAAACGAAGCACATATATCCATACATACGAGTACAAATAGTTGCAAACATATACACTTACATACGTACACATGCGGTATCATCCACACATTCATGAGGCATGTATATATAATGCGCGTAACTGTCTTTTGATTTCTGCTACCTTGCATGTCAGTCCCTCCCTGGCCTCTTTCACCTCTGTTATCTTTTAATGTAGCCAAGGATCATAACAAATATGTATCCATTATTTGACATTAAACGTAGGCAATGCAACTTGGTAAAATAAGTCTCATGAAAGATAACTGGCAGATAGTCTAATTCAAAAGCCTTGTCTCTCATGTTAAAAATAGAGTCATTGGTAATCAGGCTCGCAGGCTGGTCAAAATGCCTTCACAGATCCGGCCCGTGGGCCATAGGTTGCTGACCCTTGTTTTATAGCATTGTATCCCTCTATCCATCTTTTATATCTTTATCCTTTCTTTCACTATTAACTCATTATTTTTTTCACTTCTCTGTAAAAAAAAAACACAACATAGACATGAACAATCAAAGGACTGGTGCCAAAGTATGGGTATCGGTGTGAAAACTTTGGTCTCAAGCGTTTCCAGTTGAACTCAAATATCCATAAAATTGGGTTTTTATTCCTATAAAAAGTAAAGTTAAAGTGACAAATGTGGACTTGACTTTAAAGAAGAGAACTTTGTCATTAACTAGTTTTTACATTGTGTTTTAATTTTTATTTTTAATTCTTTTATAAAAATACTTTATTAGAATTTTTCTTAACTTTGATGTGTAGTGAGTACAAAATAATAATAACTCCCTTTAAATTTGAAGGACTAAGGAAGAAGAAGGAAAGGAATATTCTTACTTAAAATTTAGGTAGGAACCCCCGGTGGGGCCAATGTAGTGATGAAAACCTTGCCTTCATAGAAATTAGCTGGTCAACTGAGAAGAAGAGAAGTGAGTCTAATGCAAAATTCTTTTTGATATAAAATGAGGAGAAAAACTATTTCTCTTAGTCTGCTTTTGAACATATGCAAACCATATATATTTCAACGAAGTTTTGTACCTTAGTCTTAAACATTTTCTAATATTATTTTGTGTCAGATCATTTAATCTGTTGTATGAACATTTTTGTTTCATGACAATATGTTAAGAAGACTACAGACTTTAAGAATTGTGATTTACTTTCCTGAAACTACTTCAAGCATGTAAATTCGTGAATAAATTCCTTATCTTGTTTTGTTAAAATTACCCATGTGTTTCCTCATCATTATCATCATTCTTTAATCTTCATGGGTAAATCAACTGTTCATTTTAAGCCCTATGTCATTACTATCTGGTGATGTCACTACTATCGGGAGACCCTTGATGTGCGAGGAAACACATACCTATTCTTACTGAATTCATTACAAGTGAACATGTCTGTCAATGAGCAGGAGATGAATCAAGCATGCACAGAGGTCAGCAAATTGATACAAACAATACCCATTAAACTACCCATATTCATTGAATCAAATGTGATTGCATGGTTCTCAATTATGGTGGTGCAGTTCAACATTGTGATGATAAGGTCACATATACAGCAATTTTATCACATGTTGGCTACATTACTGTGAGTGATAATATGCAAGCTACAAACTACCATTTTACAGTCAGGAGATTATAGCAAAAGAAGCAGTTGTAATGTTGCATGAAAAATCAAAGCCAGAGATGATTGACAAATTAATTTCTTCTTTCATTCTTACAATCTGACCATCCATTTATTGAAATGAACTGATGGCATTAGCAACAAAAATTGGAGTGAACAGTGACATAATATGATACAAATTCATCCAAGCAATGCTGATTGGCATAAAACCAATGCTGGCAGCACAAAAGGATTTAGAAATGGAAAGACTTGGGAAGATGGTTAACAACCTATTACTGTATTTTAATAAGAAAGGCCCCGGTCCCATTTGTGACACAGAGAGAGTCTGGGAAACACACACCCACATATATTTTTTTTTTAGTGAAATTGGAGTAGATTTCAACAGCGAAATTAAATCGGAGCATTTTCTTTACTGATGTGGAAATTTGATCTAGGGCAGAAGTTGTACCCATTGAATCTGGGTTATCAGGAGACAATGTAAATGGTCGAAATAATTTTTATCGATTAAAAATTTAAATAGAGCTGAGTAAGCTAGAAGGAACTTTGGAATTCACATGATTTTGGTTGAAGCAGCCAGAAGCCTGTGATAATCGCGTGTGAAGTAGTAGGGCCAAGGGTCCGTTATCAGCCTGGTTTATCTATATAAATGCGTAGTTATGCTGAAAAAGGCATATGGGAGAAAATTCTTGAAGATAGAATTGGCCCGGGCGAGCGTTTGGAGGAGGAACGCCACTATAACTTTAAGCCCCGCACAGAAACCTTTATCCCTCCATCGCAAGAGTAATATGAGACGATTTAACAACAAGTTAATCATATACTCTCCCTCTCTCTGTCTAGAATCCAGTTTTTATGTTTTTTTTACTTTTCTTTTCTGTAACCCGTTTCTCTTCTCTACTATTCTTTTCTGCTATATAAAAGACATTACCAATTCAACCATTGAATCAATGTTTGTCCGGCTTTCTGCAGATATTAATTTTTTTTTTTTTTTGCTGCATTCTAAATTTCTTAGCTCATACTTCCCAGCAGTGTCTACATCTTCAGTCGATCGTGAATGGACGAAAATCACTTCTGCTTTCTAGATCAAACAAATCACAACGTGGACAGGAAGCAGGATTAAACCAGCGGACCAGTCGAATAATCTACGGATGCTCAGGGGACCTATGGCCACTCCCTTCGGACCAAGAGTAAGACGCCGGAGGTTGAGGGTCCGGGGCGAAAGTGTTAGACTGGTGCCTGTGATCAGGATAGACCCGTGGGAATTAACACGGCTGTCTGAAAGAGGGGAGAAGGTTGCATTTGTTTTGTCCAGTCGGGACCGAGTAAGACCAGAAAGGACTCTATTCTTCGGCCTATACTGGTCTGAAAGGAAAGGGAGGAAGCAAAAGGAGGAGGAAAAAGAAACAAAACATAGAGCGGTGGACCTCAAGTAAGTCACTTTTTGGTTTCCTTTGTTCGCTCATTGCACTTATATCTGCCTGTAATATTGTTGATCTTGTTTTGACTTTGTCGACTTTGTACACAGTTAAAGTGCCACCACCGTGTTAAGTATTTTTCCTTTTGTTCTGTCGTTGGTCTCTCTTCTCGTGGGAAAGTGGTAGTTGACAAAACGCTAGGATGAGCATAGCAGGATCAGACGTCACAGATGACCTTGGGGCCGTGGGAGTCCCCGAAATATCGATGGTTGCAGGAGGCTGATAGTTAGCATGAAGCTACCTACTTATAAAGGAAACCCTGCGGGCCTGCACGAATGGATTCTGTCCATTCAGAAGAAGCAGGTGATCTATGGCCTCTCGGACCAAGAAATGGTGCTCCTAGCTTATGACGCCGCAGCAGGGCAGGTGTCCAAGTTCATACGGAGGTGGTACAAAGAAAACCCGGCCCTGATTTGGACCGAGCTCTGGTGCGGCAATACGCAAGTGAGCGTACGGCCATTGAGGCAGTCAGGAAATTATTACAGCAACAAGAAGGAGAGACTAATGAGGAATTGAGGGAAAGAATCGCGGGGCTAGCGGCGTTAGCTTTTCCGGAGTTGGCGACTCGGGACAGTGGTCCTATTCAGGCATTGTTGGCCGATGTGTATGTGGACGGGCTGAGTGACAGGGACCTGAGGGGCGATGTTCTGAAGGGTGGACCGGTCAGCCTGACTGCAGCCATAGAGGCGGCTCGGACCAGCGAACAACTCTAGGATAGAATAAGAGGGGGTGTAGGTAGGAACCCCCGGTGGGGCCAAGGTAGTGATGAAAAAGAAGGAGCGGATACAGATACGAGACCCGAAAGAAGAGGTGGAAGAGGACTGGAAGGCCGAGACAGTTCCTAATAGGAGAGCCTGGGATCTGCGTTATGGGTTTCACAAGCCCACACTGGGCCGATATGGGTTGAACTTGCAAGTATGGTGGGCATCAGGCCTGCGACAGTCCGACAAACTATGGAGGCTGCCCAAGGGCCAGACTGCATAACTTGTGGCGAGTTCGGGCACAAGGTTCGGTGGTGTACGGCAGAGGGAGACCGTAAACTGGGGATAAAGCGAGTTAATACGCTGGTGCCCCCTACTGAGAAGGAACAAGGTCCGGGAAACGCCGATGGGTCACCCGTGAAAAAGTAAGAGGCAGGGTGGCCCCAGTGCAAGTAAGACCTCTGAGATACTGGACATGTGGTGTGGTTGGGGACTTTTCGGTCAGTTGTAAGGAGCGAAGGTGTTGGCGCTGTGGAGAAAAGAGGGTCATTCGAGCTCTACCCCACCCAGGAGGGCCCCTAGGCAGAAATTGGAGCCCCTAGAAAAAGGTGAACTCCTGTCACTGACCCCCACTTCTCGGTTGTCGAGAAAGGGAGAGAACATACGGGAAGGAGAAAGGCACAGGTATACTGTTTGCTGAAGGAAGGGCCAGACTTCACCTGTAATGTGTTACTGGGAGACAAGAAGGTGAAGCCTCTTGTCGATACTGGAGCTTCAGTGTCACTGGTTAGCTCCAAGGTTTTTAGACAGTTGGGACTGAAAACGAAGATTAGTCCCATCAATCTACTAAGTCAGGCTGATATTAGCAAGATAAGGATAGAGGGTTGGCAAGAACCAGAGGTGAACTTAAGGTTTATGGGGCACCTGACTTGTGTGGTGAGCTAATTTTGGGAAGTGACTGGCTTAGGCAGAATAAGGCACAGATCCGTTTTGACCCCGCCACCCTAACATTGGACGGCGTAGGGATACTGTTGAGAGAGGATAATTATGAGCAGTTGCCAGTGGTGGCCCAGACAGATATAAAGCTTCCCCCTAGGACTACTGTATCTGGGAAGGGCAAGATTATAACAGAAGGAGTGCTGAACAGTGACCTGTACCAAGTGGTCCCTACTGATAGGTATGATAATAGTGAAGGGGAAATAACGGTGTGTGATTCGTTGGTGAAGAGGTCGGGGACCGTTCCCTTACTGTTAACCAATACTGCTAATAAAACTTAAAATAAAGCCGGGAGAGGAGCTGGCACGGGCATGCCCAGTGAGAGAAGTTGAACAGGTGAGAGTATGGAATGAGAATAGGCCTGGGAATAAGACAGGTAGCGATGAAATAAGAGATGAAGATATAACAGCTCCTGAGCGTTATAGGAGGAAATGTGGGGGTTGCTGAATGGTAATCGCGAGGTAATAGCCATTACGGATAAGGAACTGGGACAGACGGAGACAGTTGAAATGAAGATAGACACTGGTAATCACCCACCTATTAAGTTAAGACCGTATAGGACCCCAATCCACAAAAGAAAATTAGTAGAGGACGCAGTGAATGAAATGATGGAATCAGGTATAATCGAAAGATCCAAATCTCCCTGGAGTTTTCCAATAGTGATTGTTGAAAAGAAGGATGGAGGGCATAGGTTTTCGTCAATTAAATGCCATTACGAAACCGCTGGCAGTGTCCCTCCCCTTGATTGATGATATTCTAGCTCTTTTAGGAGAGTAAATGTTTTTCCACCTTGGATTTGAGGTCGGGAAATTGGCAGGTAGCACATAGCAAAAAGGATCAGAAAAAGATTGCTTTTACCTGCCACATGGGTCTCTTCAATTTTACAGTTATGCCGTTTGGGTTAGCAAACGCCCCGGGTGTATTTAGTCAGTTAATGTCCATCCCATTGAATGGCACTGAGGCATTTACCAAGGCGTATCTAGATGACATCATGGTGTTTTCAAAATTACCAGAGGAGCATTTTGAACATCTGCAGAAGGTGTTCAATAGAACATGGATTAAAGTTAAAATTATCAAAGTGTCAGTTTATGAAAGAAGAGACAAAGTACTTAGGGTTTATCATAAACAAAGAAGGAATAAAAACGGATTTAGACAAAGTAGAGGTTATAAGAGGCATGCCCGCACCGAATACCGTAAGAGAGATTAGGGGATTTATTAGAGCCATTGGATATTATCGGAGGTTCATACCAGCATTTAGTCAGCTAGCAGGCCCTCTAATAGCTCTAAGAAGCAGGACCAGCTGACAGCTGTACCCCTGTTGCCCTACCCAGACCTGAGTAAGCCCATGGTGCTGTACACCGATGTTAGATAAGTGCATCGGGGCGGTTCTTACACAACCATGTCCCGATAAGGATGGATCAGTACCAGGTGTGCCCGAGGAAGTTCTGATCTATTTTCTGTTTCATCGGCTCTCCGAGACTCGGCAAATGTGGCCAGTAATAGAAAAAGAGGCGTTCGCCATTCTGTATGCTGCGCAGAAATTAGATTATTATTTGAGTGGGGCTGTGTTTGCCATTAAAACCCGTCAGATATTTGTTAGAGGCGGAGTGGACGAATAAGAAGATACAACAGTGGGCATTGAAGTTAAGTGGATATAACTGCAGAATAAAATATTTGGCAGGGAAGGATAATACCTGTGCTGACCTGTTATCGAGGATTCCGAGGCAATTAGAGACCGAATCTGTCAGGTTGGAGCCGGGTGTGGATGATAAAGCATTCCAAATTAATGTGATCAATTCACAGGCGTTGAAGAAGAGACTTGGTTGGGAAGATCAGGAAACGAGTGAAACGGAGATTGTTTCTGACCCCCACTGGAAGGATATTATTAGGCAAAGCCAAGAGGATAGCGAGAGAGAGCAACTATCAGGTCCAGGGCGTACCTCCAAATATATGGTACACGATGGAGTGATGTATTACTTTTCAGGAAGAGGTGAGGAAGTAAGTTTAAAAATGGTGATACCTGAGAAGTTGAGAGCTGAAATTCTAGACCAATGCCATAGGAGGTTAGGACACCTGGAAATTGATAAGACGTATGGATTAATAATGAGAAATTACTTCTGGCCTAAGTTGTTTAATGATGTTGTGAACCATGTAAAAAATGTCTAACATACCAAGTACAGAGTCGAAGGAGTAAGGTTGCCCCAGTATTAGAAACGGATGTTCTGAATTATCCATTTCAGAAAGTAAGTATGGATATTTCTGGGCCCTATGGAGAAACACATAGAGATAATCTTTACATAGTGAGTTTGGTGGACTGGCTGACAAATTGGCCTGAGGCATTTGCTATACCGGATAAGAAGGGACGAACGGTGTCATATATAATACTGAACGAAATATTCCCTTGATATGGGGGCCCCCAATCAGTTGGTTACCGATAATGGATCGGAGAATGTGAATCAGGTTATGAGAGAGACGTTGGGAGAATTAAACATACGGCACATAACCACCTCTCCATATCACCCCCAAAGTAACGCTTAAGGTAGAAAGATTTCATAAGACCCTCGCTGATGTGTTAGCTAAACTAACAGAGGATAATAGGGAAAATTGGGATTTATTCGTACCCAAGCGTTAGCAGCTGTGAGATTCTCGATGAACGAGACGACAACATTTTCCCCTTATTACTTGATATATGACAGGGATGTAGTCTTACCTATAGACTATCTGTTACGACCTAGGAGGAAGTATTTAGGAGAGGATCATCACCAAATAGTTTTAGAACAACAGCATAAAATTTTTACGCAGGTGAGGAGGAGGATTCAAAGAGCCCAGAAAAGCGAAACGATAGGGTAAATAAAAATAGAGAAGTTTCCTTCCAGATAGGTGATCCAGTGTATTATATAATACACCTGATAGAAGGTAAATTGGACCAGAGATGGAGTCCATACTATAGGATCATGGAGCAGACGGGTCCGGTTTCCTTTGTGATCTGGGACCAATTGACCAGACAGGTAAAGAGAGTGCATGCGAATGATATAAAGCTAGTTGAAATAGGAGAATGGAAAGGAGCCGAAACAAAACTCAACAGAAAGACTGAGAGTGAAAGTGAAGGGAGTGAGGAGATTGAAATTAGCCCAACTACCCTTCGAAGTCTGAGGGAGGTAAATCGGACCCCAGCAGGACATTCTGAGGAAGCAGGGATTGAGCCTAACCTTAGGGAAGAAGAACTGAGCGAATGGGAAGAAGATGAAATTCTGTTAGGTCAATTGTGTAGAACAATTACGTTGTCAAGATAAACACACAGTTGTGGAACAAGCTGAGTGAATGAACACCCCACCTTGAGAAAGAGAGCTATTTATGGTGCCATGGAGCATCTCATTGTGCTCAAGTGGGATATTCCATTGCTTGGGCTGTGATTGACTGCTGGTACATGAATGGAGGTATTTCTATATAAATACCAGCTTGATTCCAGTCAGTTTGCGGGGTTTGTATTGAGTTACAACCTGCTTTATTTTTGTCTGCCAGCTGGACGCTAACTGGGACCCTTACGCCGATAAGTGCTGTTTATTCTATTGTTATTCTACATCCCCCCCCATCGCGTGTGGGTAGTAGCCTTTGGGGAGGGATGAGTTCCTTTAAATCTGGCTGGTTGTGCGGAAGTAGTCTGGACAATGCCTTGTCCGTGTTATTGTAGATGACTGAGCGGTGTTTGATGTTATTCCAGCGTCGAATGTTTGTGGCACTGGCGTAGGGGTCTCGGGTAAGGCACTAGGTTTGGGAACTGGATGTATCAAGTGTATCAAGTTTCCTGAAGAATCGGCGATTTCGTAAGGTAATTTTACCTGATCCGTCAACTCTGATACGGTATTGGTGGTTGGGGAGGGTTTCAATGACCTGACCTGTTGTGTCCCATTTGTGGGTTGTCGGTCGTTGTATTGCCACTATTTGTCCTTTTTTAAGGGGGTTTAAGGTGTGCGCTATTCTGTTGTATCGCTCTATGAGACGAGCATTCCACCGGGACAGACTCATCTCGCGATTTTGGGCTGCGGTTATCCAATTCGCGTGTGGCTTGTAGAGTGTGAGTTGAGATAGTATGTAGTCACATTGTCGGCGGTGGAGTAGCAGTTGAGCAGGGGATAGCCCAATGATTTGGATGGGCGCATTCCTGTATTGGAGGATGACTCTTGCTGCACGGTTATTGTCCAACGATCCTTGTGCTCATGTGTTGCCATTTACGATTCTCTTGGCCGTTTTGACAGCGAGCTCTGCCCGACCATTGGATTGTGGGTAACCAGCAGATGATAGCCTGTGTTTAACGCCCCAGTCTTGTAAAAATTGCTTGAATGGAAGGGATGTGAAGGGTGGCCCACCACCACTGCTGAGTTCCTCAGGAGTGTCGTAGGTTTGAAATATGTCTCGGCAAATTGAAATAATCCTTGAGGCATTATCTTCTCCGTGACTCAAGTGGTATAGATTCAGCCAGCCTGTTAACCTGTCAGCGCATGCTAAGTAACCATGGTTCCCGACATGGAAGATCTCCATGATGATTTGCTGAAA